GGTATGTCGCCAGCTCTGAAGGCAGCACAGAAGTAAGGGTGGCAATACTGTGACCCCTAAAATAACCTGATGACCCCCCTGCAACTTCCTTTTGGGTCAGGACCCCCAGTTTGAGAAATGCTGGTCTCCCCCCGTGAAATCTGTATAGTATAGGGTAAAAGCACCCAAAAGACCAGATTTCACAGGAGGAGACCAGATTTCATGGTCCATGATGTGTTTTTCATGGCCGTGAATTTGGTACGGCCCTAAGAATAAGCATTAGATACCACATTTTGAGCCATTTAGAAACTTAATTGAATTTTTAGCTTCAGTACACTCCATTATCTCCTTTATCTCTTTCACTCCCTGTTTCTAATTTGAAGCCAGTAGTGACTTGTCTATTTTAAATGTTGGCAACATATAAAATGTCCTGCAGCTAAGCTGGGGCACTCTCCATTAAAGGGTTATAACTTGGTATCTAAATTTATAGAAGGACCTATTACTGTGATTGTAGCTAATAGTGACTTTCAGTCTTTCCTTTATAAATAACTATTTTAGTATATAGGAACTGTCAGTCTGGATAGGAAAAATACCAAGCCTCACCCTACCTAGCCTGTTCTCACCGTGGGAAAACAGAAAAAATAAAAATATTTGTATTTATTTATTTATTTATTTAGATTTTTAAAAATACAAAAAAAAGGCACCTACTTGACCTTCTAGGCACCTGTGATTGATGTTACCAACGAAAATAAAATCAGTTAAAACTAACAGCTCACCCCACTGGCCAAACTTGACCACCAACAAAACTCCCCACCTCTGTGTAAGCCTTTGCCATCATCAAGACCCTTTCTCTCCAAAAGCTAGAGTTAAATAAAAAATCTTTTGCAGTGTGACCTGAAGGTCAGATAGGCTTAGAAGTAAGAAATGAAGTTCACTCTAGACAAGCCTGCCTGTCCCTTTAACAGGGAAAGAAAACAAAGGTCTTTTGTATAGACCTCTCATATGAACTGGTACAATTCTCTAAAACAGTGGCTCTCAACCTTTCCAAACTACTGTACCTGTTTCAGGAGTCTAAGTTGTCTTGCGTACCCCATGTTTCACCTCACTTAAAAATTACTTGCTTACAAAATCAGACATAAAAATACAAGTGTGTCACAGCACACTGTTACTGAAAAATTGCTGACGTTCTCATTTTTACCATATAATTATAAAATAAATCAATTGGAATGTAAATATTTTACTTAATTTCAGTGTACAGTATATAGAGTAGTATAAACAAGTCCATGTATGAAATTTTAGTTTGTACTGACTTCACTAGTGCTTTTTATGTAGCCTGTTGTAAAACTAGGCAAATATCTAGATGAGTTGATGGACCCCCTGGAAGGCCTCTGAGTACCCCCAGGGGTACATGTATCCCTGGTTGAGAACCACTGCTCTAAAAGGCACTCCAATACCTTGATGATAACTGCAATGTAAATACCTATGTCATAGACTGTATTTACAAATAATAACATAAAGTGGTTAATACTTTTTAGTTGGAATATCACGTAAAACCAGTGATGTTAATTGTTTTTATGTATGAGTCTTCCCCAAACTTTACAAGTTTTAAGAGCTTGACGTTTAAGAGGCTTCTGGTTGTTTAATTTTTAATTGATGCCTTTGGTTGTTTAAATTGTTTTTTTCAAAATGGCTAAGAATCTTGCTTGAGAATGCCCGTTGAGTATGTGCACCTGTTACCTTTATACCATTATGTGCAACGTAGTATAAAAATGTGTTTACAGTGCAATCGTGCAGCAGGATGGCTCCAATGTTTCAGCTGAAATATTTTACCTGGTATTATGCATAAAATAGGTCAAATTGAAGTATTTTTTTTTGCTCTTCAAATAAAATGTTTTAATTAATAAAATAATTTTCTGGCTCCTTAACAGTCAGTTGAGACATTTGGCATTTATTATTCTGGGTATGGGGACACAGGCAAAGATGTCAAACTGGGATAACAAAGGTACTTTTTTGGCTCCCCCCACATGTTTCTGCAGGCAATATGATGCGGCATTAGTGCAGTAATACTTAGTTTTTATTCTGCACAGTCCTTGCCAATGTATGACACTCACACCACTAATTCCAGCGGGAGTTTGTAATGGGATTATATTGCACGATCGCTTGCTTGGGAATATAGTCTCCATTTAAAGGGAAGTGACTGTACTTCAGCAAAGTGTGATGAATGCCCTGCTTACCAGCCTAGTTAGTTCCCCTGAAGCTGCTTCCACTGGGTCTAGTTCTGGGTCCACTGTGCTGTCCCAGCACACACCATGCTGTGATGTCCTTGCTTCTGGGGAATCAACACTGATGCAGGCAGCCCGCCCACATGGGCTCAGATAAATTCCTGTTTCTTTCTGACAGAGCAGAGTTTCCACAGTTTCTCATGCCGTGTATGAAAGTCAGACAATATTTATTCAGTGGTGAGCTGACTCTGTGCATGTGCAGGGCAATTCCCTTGTTGCTGTAGGATCATAATATGGTGCATGCTGGGTACAGAAATGGAGCCAGAGGCAGAATCTTCATGGGAGAGAACTTTTCTGCTGCATTAGTGTTAAGGGCCTGCCTTTCCTGTTATGTGATTTGCAGGTCTATAGGGAAGTGTGGCATTAAAGTTGAATGGGTCTCCTTGCTGCTTTGGTTTGTTTTTATTTGTTTGGTTTTGTGGGGTGGATGTACTCTGAGTATGCCTGCAGAATTTAATAGTGATTAAAGAGCATTTTTAGTATATATTAGTAACTGAAATCCTGGACTGTCGCACAGGTGTAATTCATAAAGTTGTGTGCAAAAGCTGAAAATGGCTGAGAACTTAAATACTGGTTGGTAACTGATTGAAAAACCCAGTGATGATTGGACCTGATGATATTCTGCAAAAGGAGCTCTCAACCATGCTTGCAGTTGTTTCCATTGTTTCACACTGACACAACAGACAATCTGTGATGTTTGGGCTTATTGGTTGTGTTGTGTGGGTGGTTGTGTTGATTTGTGTCTAGTTGGGATTGTGCTGGGATATTGGTGTTTTTGTGTGGGTGGAAGTAGGGCACACTGACATGGTGGTTGGGCCAAATAATCCACCATCTGTGCAGTCTCCTTTAGGCAACCAGTGAAATTGTTATATACAAATTAACTGTAGAGTACGGTGGTGATTCGTTGAGTTACCTCTGATATCACAGTGGCTTAGGACTCTTGGCAAGGCATAGATACATGCCTTTATTGTAGCTGTACAACGAGTGTAATTAGTAAAGCCAAAATGGCTGCGAACTTAACAATTCGATGGTGACATACTGTGAAACCCGGTGATGATTCAGCCTGGTGATATTCTGATGAAAAAGAGCCCTCAGCCATGCTTGTGGCTGTTTTCATCACTTCACGCTCTACAGATATAATAGGCTCTAGGGTGACACACCGAGTGACAATCTTTGGAAATCTAGTTGTATCGATATGTATTCTGTTTTCACTAATGTTTTTATAGTGTAAGGGACACATGAATCACAGTCTCTAAGCATAAGACTTTACAATAATAATATATGACTTCTGAAATTTCTCTTGCACCTTTTAACATGCTTCCTTTTCTCAAAAGTGGTCCCCACTCTAGATTCCTTCTCCAACTATTGAGATGTTAGCTTACAAAAGGAAAAAAAAAGTCATCTTTTTGATTGTTTTTTAATGGAATGATATTTTTGTGGACTTGACCATATGATGAGATTACTGGTTCTGTGGATGAAGGGAAAGCAGTGGATGTATTGTTTCTTGACTTTAGCAAAGCTTTTGACACGGTCTCCCACAGTATTCTTGTCAGCAAGTAAAAAAGTATGGGCTGGATGAATGCACTATAAGGTGGGTAGAAAGTTGGCTAGATTGTCGGGCTCAACAGGTAGTGATCAACGGCTCCATGTCTAGTTGGCAGCCGGTGTCAAGTGGAGTGCCCCAGGGGTCGGTCCTGGGGCCGGTTTTGTTCAATATCTTCATAAATGATCTGGAGGATGGTGTGGATTGCACTCTCAGCAAATTTGCGGATGATACTAAACTGGGAGGAGTGGTAGATACGCTGGAGGGCAGGGATAGGATACAGAGGGACCTAGACAAATTGGAGGATTGGGCCAAAAGAAATCTGATGAGGTTCAATAAGGATAAGTGCAGGGTTCTGCACTTAGGACGGAAGAACCCAATGCACAGCTACAGACTAGGGACCGAATGGCTAGGCAGCAGTTCTGCAGAAAAGGACCTAGGGGTGACAGTGGACGAGAAGCTGGATATGAGTCAGCAGTGTGCCCTTGTTGCCAAGAAGGCCAATGGCATTTTGGGATGTATAAGTAGGGGCATAGCGAGCAGATCGAGGGAAGTGATCGTTCCCCTCTATTCGACATTGGTGAGGCCTCATCTGGAGTACTGTGTCCAGTTTTGGGCCCCACACTTCAAGAAGGATGTGGATAAATTGGAGAGAGTCCAGCGAAGGGCAACAAAAATGATTAGGGGTCTGGAACACATGACTTATGAGGAGAGGCTGAGGGAACTGGGATTGTTTAGTCTGCAGAAGAGAAGAATGAGGGGGGATTTGATAGCTGCTTTCAGCTACCTGAGAGGTGGTTCCAGAGAGGATGGTTCTAGACTATTCTCAGTGGTGGAAGAGGATAGGACAAGGAGTAATGGTCTCAAGTTGCAGTGGGGGAGGTTTAGGTTGGATATTAGGAAAAACTTTTTCACTAAGAGGGTGGTGAAACACTGGAATGCGTTACCTAGGGAGGTGGTAAAATCTCCTTCCTTAGAAGTTTTTAAGGTCAGGCTTGACAAAGCCCTGGCTGGGATGATTTAGTTGGGGATTGGCCCTGCTTTGAGCAGGGGTTGGACTAGATGACCTCCTGAGGTCCCTTCCAACCCTGATATTCTATGATTCTATATGTTCATTTCATACCAAAGTTATTTTCCATATTCTTATTCCATTATTACGGTTCCACACAGAGATTCTTTTTCTTATTGTCTTTCAGGTTTTATTTAAAAAAGAAAATTGAGTCTGGATGCCTGTGCTGGATTTTAGCAGCTGAAGATGGAGTAAGGTAATGTAACATCATTTTAGTGGTTATTACTATAGAAAATGATGCTTTAGGGTGCTGAAGAATAGCAAGTTTTAAAGGTAAATTGCAGGGAAACGGCTACACACATTGTATATGGGAGCTTCAACATCTCAAGCAACGAGGTTTTAACAACATCCCACAAATTCTGGATTTCAGTTTCAATGGCATTCTCATGCTGTGGACGTCTATGCTATTTGAATGCTCTGGATAATTCTTTATGCTTACCAGAGGCTTTGTTACGTTTGAAAATTTGCAGGGGTTAAATTTTTTTTTTTAAAAAGTCTTTGTTGGAAGACCTAGCTTTGCAATCTTGTTCCCTCGAAAGGGCTTCCAGTCTGCTAAGTTCTCTCCTTTCCCTCCTTTCATTGCTCTTTGCACTCTCTCTTCCCCCATTATCCACCCTGCAAGACGCGTTCTGTCTTTGCCTACTTCCCAAGCTGCCACAGCCTGCTCATCCTGGAAAGCACAGGGATAGCTTTAGTGCACGGGTGCTCAGAGGATGTTCCTTGGAGCACCAGTGTGTTTGCAGAGCTCTTTGAGATGGTCTACAGAATGAAACATTCTCACAAGCAAGTTATGAGAGAGTGAGAGGGAAGGCGGATTCATTATTATTGTTAGAGTAGCACCTAGAGACACCCCCCAAGATAGGGGCCTCACTGTGCTAAGCACAGTACAAACACACCATACAAGACAGTCCCTGCCCCACAGAGCTGACAGTGTAAATCACACAGCAGGCCAGTGGTAGAGATGGGAACAGAATACAGGTCTCCTGACTCCTAATCTAGTGCTTTATCCACTAGAGGACAGCAGAGCACTCTGTTGCGGAGTTCTGCATGGAATGAACAGGTTGGAGAACTGCTGTGCTGTACAGTGAGCTGTGGTCAGTAATGGTTTCCCTGCAGTTCCCCTCTCCAACTTCTGCTGTGTGGTGGTGTGGGCCCTTCTGTAAGTAGGGAAGCAAGCTTATTTGGAAGATCAGACTGCACCATCTGCCTCTACAGCAGTCAGTGAATCCATTCCCTCATGTGATAACTGGGGTCTGCCTGTATCAGAAATGTGTCCTGATAGAGACTGCTGGGGCAGTGATCTGAAAGCCTGAATAAGCGACCTATTACTGGTGTACGTAAATCTGGAATTCAAATTGCTTGTGAATATTTTGAGCCAGGGAACTGAACAAATGCAAATACAATGCACAACTGCATGCTTCATTGGCTTATATGTAATTTTTCCCCCATAGTATATCCAGAATAGTTCAGCGAAAAATAATCTGGGAACTGTGCATGGATATGAGGGTCTTTCTAGGTTCTAAAAGGGGGCCTTTGTGGTGGTATTTGCCAGTAACAGGAAGCATTGCCAGACCCCTTAGCTTAGTAGCTATATGTGGATTAAAATGAATTGCAATAAAACAAGTGACTCGTTTCATCTTTACTTCGCCTTCTAATCATTGTTTGATACCCTCTGCATTTAAAGCATTGCCTGGAGCTATCCTGCACTGCCATCCAGTTCAGCAGTGCTTCTTACTGATGAAATTAGAACAGAGCATCACAGACCACTTGGGACCCCTATGCATCCAATCACAGAAATCTATAAGAAAAGGGGTAGAACAGCAAAGTCAGATGCATTTGGGACAGCTCTATGGGGACAGCATATTGTCCTAATGAAGTGTCTCTCACAGCTAAGGCCGTGATCCTGCAATGAGGTCCACATAAGCAGGTCCATACACCCATCTGAAGTTCATTTCAGGAGCCAAAGAGAAGACGCCTTTTAAAAATAAGTTTGAAAAGGTTTTGAAATGCAATACTAGAGTACACTTTTTGGTTTTTTCTTTTTCTTTTAATCTTTATTTAGCAGCTTTTGCATTAAAAAAAAATCTGAGCTCAGATTTAATATTAGATATAATATTACACACATTTAGTATCAGTTAACACTTTCAGTAATGTCTTCATGATACTTGCCAGCTAAGCAGAATTTATGCCAATACTGTCCTCATTAAGGAGCAGTTCCTGCCTGTTGTTAAATCAGTTACTTGGGAGATGCCTCAGTAAAGCACCTGCCCTCATAAAGCACATCCTGAAGTAAGTGGAGTCCAGTACATTGTGATAGAAGGAAAGGGTGGGGGAGTAAGTAATTCAATAGGGGTGAAATCCTGGCCCTTTTGAAGCCAGAGGGGGCAGGATTTTGCCCTAGATTTCTTAAGTAGAACAGCAAGTATCTTTAAAACATTTGTCAACTATTTCAATACATCTTGAAGATTTCTAAATATAATGCACCTATAATGCTAAATGTTATTGCAGGTTACAAATTTTTGACAAACCATATTTAATAGCTTGCTCCTGTTCCCTTGTCTCTCCGACCTCTTTTTTTCTGCCAGTACAAAGGGCAACATACATTGAAAACACAGAAGAGAGCATACACGTGCCTACTGCAGGGTTAAATGTGTAGTGAGCATAGCTGAATAGGTTTTTTATCCCTTTTTTGTATAACTTTGTCTGGTCCAAGCACCTAACGTTCTAGTACATTTCAGCTTTGTTTCTGAAGCATACAAGATGTACCACATGGAAAAGGTATTGTAGCTTAATAACCCCATCTCTGATGGGATTTTGAAGGATAAAAAGACCTTTTGGTGCCAACAATTCAACTGAATCAAAGAAGTAAGACAATGTCATAGGTGCATTGGCACCCTACATATATACTATAGAATGAAGTAATCCTGCTAAAGCGGGGACACAACAGAGTATGAGGCGTACAAACTGATATGTAAAAGAAAAGGAACATAGATGAAAAGCAATCTGGCAAAACACAAACTGGACCAAAAGTGTCAGTTGCAGCTGATCTCACACACACAAAAGAAAATATTTAGTACTCTCTAGCTAATATCCCTATTGCTCAACCTCAGGTGGGTGACGGATGAGCTATCCAGAGTGCAGCAGGCAACAGAAATTAGAGAATGTTAAGGTGTCTAAGAAAGTAGTTTTTGCATTATTTAAAGAGAGGACACAAAATTGCATAGTTGCCCTGAAGCCACTTAGTAGGATGAAATAATGGAGGTAGTAATAGTTCCCAAAAAGCAAGAGCATTAGAAAAAAAGATGGGAAGGATTTCATGAAACATGTCAGACCTCGTTAAAGAGATATTATGTAACTTCATGACCCATAACTTGTCTACCCGTAAGCATCTAATTCTAGGTAGAATGACCTGATACGAAGTGTTGCTGAGAATCTGCAGTTCCCATTGACTTCAGTGAAATCTGGAGATGCTCAGCACTTCTGAACAACAGATCACTTTTATCTAGATGCCTAAATGTGGATTTAGATGCCTAGCTTTGGGCACCCAAATTCAGAAATGTGGCCATCCCCTTATCTCTAAGACTTTGCATGCAGAACATCTGATTTTTGTGCAGAAGTGCAGTAACTGCATGTGTGGCTGGTACCTGGCCTGAGGTACTTGACTTTTTAATAATACAGCCCAACAGGTCATTTCCATCTGGCTCTTACAATGCTAGTCCAGCTGAGATAACTAGTATTTTAGCAGTAGCAACAGATCTGAAAGGATGAATGTTAATACTCTAGAGATGAAATAATCAGACTGAGCAAGAGCCTGAATGCAGAGGGAGAATGGCAGTGTAAATTCATGTCCTTACGTGGACATGGGCACCCGCTCCTGCCTGGACACGGCATTGCAGGGGACATTGCCTCTTGCACTCCCTCTGTTGGCCACGATGGTCAGTCCCAGCTAGTCCCTTCTGCAGACTGCCTTACTGGATCTTCTGTGGCTCGGCCCTCTGGCCAAATTTTTAACAGCTCAGTCCCTTTCCGGGGTTCAACTCTGAATAAAAAAAGTCCATTGCCCCACCTGGGCTTCTTCCTCAATCCCTGGTCCTGGCAGATCTTAGCTCAGGGCTCCTCTCCTCTTTAGGGCCCCACCACCAGAGTTAATCCCACTCCTACATACAAAATGGCTGCCTAGGAAGGAGTACTGCGGGAAGTGATCTGGAGGTAATAGTGGATCACAAGATAAATATGAGTCAACAGTGTAACACTTGCAACAACAAAAAAGCAAACATCATTCTGGGAGGTATTAGGAGTATTTTAAGCAAGACACAAGAAATAATTCTTCTTTTCTACTGCACGCTGATTAGGCCTCAACTGGAGTATTCTTGTAGGCACCAAATTTCAGGAAAGATGTGGACAAATTGGAGAAAGTCCAGAGAAGAGCAGCAAAAATGATTTAAAGGTTGGAAAAAATTGAGTTTGTTTAGTCTGGAGAAGAGAAGACTGAGAGGGGACATGACAGTTTTTAAGTACATAAAAGGTTGTTACAAGGAGGAGGGAGAAATATTGTTCTCGTTAACCTCTGAGGATAGGACAAGAAGCAATGGGCTTAAATTGCAGCAAAAACAGTTTAGGCTGGACATTAGGAAAAACTTCCTGCAACTCTGTTTCCTGGCCACAGCCAGTCCCAAACTAATGGGCTCCAGGCCCTTGCCAGGGAGAGAGAACTCTCCCTACCTCCTGTCTCCTGGGTCTCCTGCCCTGTGCTTTCTTTGTTTGTTTTTTGGTGCAGCAGCCTTGTCCATGAGGCTATGACCACCACTTCCGTCATTCATTTTTAGCCAAGTTTTTAAAATTTATATCTTTTCATTCAGGAATGGTCTACACTGAAAACTTACATTACCATAGCGCTGTCTCTCAGGGGTGTGAACAGTTCATACCCCTGGGAGATGTAGCTATGCCAACCTACCTCCCACAGTAGGCAGTGCTAAGTTGACAGAAGAATTCCTCCATCGACCTACCTAGTGCCTCTTGAGGTGGTGGATTAACTATAGCAATGGGAGAGCTGCTCCCCTTGCTGTAGTGAGTGTTTACAGTGGCGTATCTGCAGTGATACAGCCGTTCCATTATAAGGTTTTAAGTGTAGACATAGGCCACGTTTACATTACAAACTTTGATCAATGCAAGTTATGTTGACATAAAGCTGCTGCA